CCTCCAAATAACATGAATGAGTATTTTAAAATAAATTAATTATAAAAGTCACCTTTCATAAATAATATAGGAAATATATTTTCATTTTCTGTGGCCCACCCAGGATAGGACATCTGGTCTAATCCGGACATGAAGACATGAGCGGCCTGGACTTCCCCAAGGCCAATGCAATATGAGAGGTAGAACTGTCAAAGATATCTACCCCGCACAGATGAAAGCGAGCCACCGGTAAGTGGGCCATAAAACCACAGGAAGGAAAAGACCCTGGCTCCAATGCCAAAATCACCTACTTCCCATCCCATCCTATCCCATCCCATCCCTGTCTCTCAACTCCCTCCACTTCTGACAAGTGGGACAGGAAGCTGTTTTTTAGGTCAAACTCCACAGTTATGGGTGGGCATGACACAAATGACAGATTTGTAGAAAAGGAATTTGTCGTGGACAAAATACACAACTCCTGTGCTTGAGTGAAAGTACAGACACCCCTTGTAAAATATTAGCTGAGTAAAGGTGGAAATCCTGTATTTGTGTCTTTTTTTTAAGTTAAAGTACAAAAGTATTTGCTTTAAAATGTATTTCTTCTATATAATTATAACAGTTCAAACTAATTAGCGAACTGACCCATCAACCCCTTGATTACTGTTGCTACATTTTATATAATATCAAGCACACCATGGCAACTATGGCAATGACAAATCCAAAGTTGATAATTAGCCTGTGAAATTCTTAGTACTTTGGATCATTAGGACAATAAAGTCTCTGCTCTGCATGTAAAGACTACATGCCAAACATTGATCTTTTGGCTGCCTAAAAGCGGTAAAAACATGTAAAAAGATGTAGACATGAATAGATAGAGGCAAAATGTATAGATGACACTCAAACAGGAAGATGCCTCATATACCAGTTAGCGAAATTAGTTAACATACCTTAGAGCAGATATGTGCCTGTGATTTGTAAGTGGTAAATGTGGCCATCTATGCTGTTTAATAACTTTTCTTGAATCTTCAGTTTAGGGCTTAGAGTTAAATTTCACAAACCCACCCACAAACTCCACTCCCCCCCTCCAAAATCCCTCCCCCCACCCTTGCATACGAGAGGGTCATAAAGTTTCTGAACTACAAATAGACAATCAGTGTTTAGTTTCAATGCTTAGTGAAAGTTTTTTCTCACTTTGAATAATGCCTAACAACACATTTGTGCGGAAAGCAGATGATCTTCTAATTTCTTTTTTCAAGTATCTGTACTTTAAGTACAAGTACAAAGTACATGTATTTTGTTGGGCCAGAAACATACCCAACACAATAATGCCAACATGTTCCTAACATATGACCGTGCTGTACAGAGTCAACTTGCATTCATACATTGCTGTGGTGGTTAAAACACTCTGTACTCGAGGGGGCGATAGAGCACAAATCAGAGCATCTGTACATGGGATCTACTGTTATTTCAACATTCACAACAGATAAACATGTCAACTGTGGAGGAGTGAGGGCAGCTTTACTTGTTCTATTGGAATGAATTGTTCTATGATGAATTGGTAACATATGACTTGAACCCTACTACACAGCACTAACATAACCATGCCATAAACATGTCCTAGTCAATGTAATATACTGTCATGATTTGCCATGACAGATTTTGTTCAGTAATATAACAGTGTCGTGTTGCCATTGCCATTAATTGTCATGGCAAATGCCATAATGTTTAATGTTATGACTGTTTATGTCACAAGCTAATTTTAGCTGTCATTACAGGAAACATTATGACATCTGTCATGACAATAAACGGTAATGGTAACTTGACCCTGTTAACTGGAAGCAACTTCAGCAGAAGAACTGTGTCAGCAGCTTCTGTCAGCAGCTTCACAAAATGAGTTTTCATGGCTGAGAGGTTGCACACAAGCCTATGATCACAATGAGCAATGCCAGGTGTCGGCTGGAGTGGTGTAAAGAACACGAACACTGGATTCTGGAGTAGTGAAAACGTGATTTCTGCAGGGTTCAAGTAAAGTGTTACCGATGTATTAAACCAATTCTGCGACAGACTTGTTAAACGGCTAGCATGCCATGAACAGGAGAAAGCACACTGGCAGCTCAGAATGCTTTGAATGCAGAATCATGAATTGCACCATGATGCATTTTAGAATGCATCAAAACAGTGTTTGCCTTTGCAATTCGTGTTTCTGGCCTAATTCTTCCACTAATTGGCAAAGAGCTGCCAGATTCACATTGGAAATGATAGGAAACCAAAAGGCTGAAGTAACTCTCCCTTTATCGTTGTCAACTAATGCACCCTTTGGCTCCAGCATTAATATAGGTATTACATGTTGCAGAGGAGGTGGGGTGATGGGGGACACTTAAGAGAAAGTTAAAAGGGAAGCTTCTAGCACAGCTGCTCCCCTCATCTGGAAGTCAGCAGAATGAAGCATCCTTATGTTTGTCTCAGGGGAAGACAGCCAGGTTTTCCTTCAGTGCACACACATCAAGCAGGAGGTCAGGATGACAGTGCTAGGAAAGCTTGCCTGGGCTCCAGCCTCAGTGCTGCACAGCAAAACCACCAGTGTTAATATTGAAAACAGTAGTTAGCTCCGTTCTCAAGCGCTAATTTAATACTGGTGATTTTGTTGGAAGCTTTGAAGATCCCCCATTCCCCATAGATTCCCCAACTGGCATTCCGATTTATAGTTCATAATACTTGCATGGCCACTTTTACTCAATAATAACTCAAATTGCAAGTTGTCATGGCTTAGAAGGCTTTTGTCAAGTCTGCACATGTGATCAGATAGTTTTGAATTACTTCCCACAAGAGGCTCGTTCTGTATTCTCCAAGAGAACCTATTCTACCAGAGGCTGCGAACATATGGGGGATGTTGGCTACTCAATCTAACAGACCCTTAATGTGGGTGGATCCTTCATTCAGATTTGCTTTTGTGGTTATGTTTGACATTCAGCAATACTAAGATTTCATTTATTGCAGATGTACCCTCAGGGAGTACCATGCAGGATGGGAGCAGTGCTGAGGTAGCAGAAAATGGTACGTTAACTGCAGTGAGTGACAGGTTAGGATCAAGCATAAGCACTTTGTTTTCAGTGTGACCTGGGTGAAGTTTCAGGTTACCTCTGGGCTGTAGAAGGATGACATCATTTACTGGTAAGACAATGATGTTACAGGGCCAGGGTCTGAACGTCACCAGGCAGTCGCCACGCGTTTCCTCCATGGCTCTGTCAGCGTCAACCTACGGCACTGTTTCTTGTCTCAAATGTCTGCACCTTGCTCAAGTACTGCCATGGGATCAGAGACAGAAGGCAGATTTTAGGAGCTCAGAATTAATGTCAGTCAGCAGAGTTTATGGGATTACAAAGATCTGATGTTTATTTTACACACAATCAATCATTTTAAATGGAAAAAGAAGAACACTTCTTTTTCTTCTAGCATAAATTGCACTTCTGTGCTCAAGTGAAATTTAAATCTCCTTTGCAGAATGTTGCCTCACTTTACAATGATCATAATACCCATATTATTCATTTTCATCATCAAAAGATATGATTCACATTTGCACCGCTTAGATATGTATGTTGCCTACAGGCAACATATGTAGCCATTTATATTGAGAACACAATAACAGTACGGTTTTTCATTTAGATTTTGTCGTTATTGTTGTTTTTGTATTTTTGTTTATTTCAGAAATAATTTTTGGTTATTTTCGGAATTGTCATGATTTAATGCTGATGTAGTGTTAGTGACTAGAAACCCATTCCAGTCAGTTCTGTTATGTAGCAGTCACCATACTGTATGTTTTACTAGGCAAGGCAAGTTTATTGTATGGCACCGTTCTTTCCAGTGTTACTAGCATCATCAGTAGTTTATGTTCAGAAAGTGTTGATTATTTGAAAGTTATTTAGTAGTTTTTGTACTTTAACATTGTTTTAAGTGGTTGATGTGCAAGAAATAAAAACAGTACTTCACAATATTGCATCATGGTAACATGGTATGCATAAAATGAAATGTCCTTGTTTATATAGCATTTTTAGTATTTAAAGAACAACACCTTGTGTAGTTGCTCAGTTTGCTCAAATTTTTAATCTTTAGGTATTAAAAGATTCTCTTTCCAATGTTGCCTCAAGGCAACAAATCCAAATGCACACAAAAATGTGTCTTTGAGTCCAATAATCCAGTCTAGTTTATGCAAAAAGTGACTTAAATACAAAACAAAAAAAATGATGCATTCTTACATTTTAGTTCTGGTTCACTTAGCATTCACACTGACATATTTGGCATTAAATCAAAAGCCTAAACAAAAGCCATATGGATAAAAAAGGTTATAACTGGTTGGGCAATTTTTCTGATGTACATTTGATGACAACAACTGGAATAATATCTAATAAAATTTCTGAATCATGCTGTATAAAGTGGGTGAAATCACAGTGAAATTACAGTAAAAACACATGGCCTCGTGTGTCTTACTGCTTTTATAAAAAATGTTAAAAACCACCCACATTAATATATACAGCATGACTGATGAGTGCGGTGATATGTGTACATATCAAGTGTTGTGTAGTGGCTTCGTCTCGGTTTTGAACCAAAACTGTCTGTTCTATCATCACCGATTCAGAGTTCATAAGAAGATTATAAGTGCATCCACATGTTAAAACTACGTCAGAAAGTCGTCTGTTGCAGGAAGAAACGGAGGTAACTACAGTTCACGCTGTGTTTGGTTGGTTCAGGTGTCTTTGGTCCGTATTGTGCTCGTATTTTAAACGAACTGCACCAACCTCAGTCTGCTTATGTGGTCTGTGCAGGGTATGTTCTCACTTCTTCTAACAAATAGCACTACTAGAGCAATCGCACCAGGGTTCATTTGAACTGCACAGAAAGCAGTTTGTGTGTGGAGAGGAAGAAGATCTGACTAGCTTATGATCTGTTACAGGAAACGGGACAGTGTTCCAATGAAATGGCCCTCCCTCTTTCCCGCTTTGCCTTATTCCTGACCCTGCAAGTTTGATGACGTCACAGTCACATTTTTGCACACACACACAAGTTCCCCTACTCCACCTCTGGACCTTTCATGGCAGGAAAGCCCCATCGTTTTGCAACACGCATGCTGGCTTGTAATACGCATGAAAACAACTGCATATGTGCCTTGGCAGACGGGCCTTTTCCGCCTCATTCCTGGAATTGGTGTGACCAGTCTTATTGGAGAAAGAGAGTTCGGCTAACCAGGAAGTGCCAACTTGGGAACTTTTGGAGGAAGGAAATCACAGATGCGTCAAGAACAGGAAGTAAGCAACACCCCCATGAATCAGCTTTACCTAGTGGGATTGCAGGGAGTGGTGATCAAGAACCAGGATGTGAAAGAGTTTGCATCATAGCTTCCCTTAGAAGGAACAGTTCCTGTGATGTAATGTTAAGCAGGTTAACTCTTCACACATCCTACTTTCCCCCAGATGTTCAACAGAGCAGAATCAGGCCTGTCTTCAGCTCTGTTTACCTCTCAGATTGCGAATAGAGGTCTTTCCCTCTTGGTAGGCCTGTGGTTGAACACTGATGCAGTCTTGCCAGGCCATATATTTTCTGGAGGTTTGAAGCAACTGCTTTATGCCCGTGTCTGGTAATGATCAGCCTCTGAAGCAGGTTCTAGAGATGCACTTCCATAAGGCAGTGGCATATTCAGATTTCTTACAGGCTGGAGGATCCAGCTAGAAAGTATTATGTCCCAGAGACATCTCTGTAGAGGAAAAAAAAGGGACTTGTCAATTAGTCTTCTAAATTGTTATTTCCATAACCAGAGAGAGGGACAGATATTGCTGACCTTGCATTCAACAGTCTTGTTACTAACACAGCTGGCAGCATACCACAGTGGGTGACTATACATAACCAAAGGCAGCATGCAGTTGTGTAAACATTGCTGTGGCAAAAATTGGTGATGATCAATGGAAAGCTTTCATTTGTTTATGGTCGGGCAGTAACTCAGCATCTTTGGGTTTTTCTTGTATTATAAGGGCATATGACGAATTAAGTTTTGTTACATTCATTGGTATCGAAGGACGTTTAACAGTTAAAAATTTAGAGGGCCTGGCTTCAAAGTGAGAGTAGCCACCCCCCCACCCCCACCCCCTGCTCCTGCCACTCTGCTGATGTAAGCTCTACTGGTTGGGGAATTTTATTGGAGACTCTGTTTGAACAGAAGCTTAAAACAGTCTTCTGAAGAAACAGAGTGGTAACCAGTGTTCAGTAAGACTGAGGCCCAAAAATCTTTGATTGTTTAATTACATTATGCTTTATTACATTCCGCTTTTTTGCCTTAATTCAGTCCATCATCCCTTTCCTTGATATAATTTAAAATGTTTATGATTAAGAGCTATTGGCAGAAAGAAACACTGATATTTTGGTCAGCTTGCTGTCTAAACGTCTTTCTACATTTTGAGTGGTTTTATGTAATAATTACTTTTTAACACCTAAACACTTTGATGTACCATTTAAATGTAAACAATACTGTAAGACTGTTCCACAATACAGTAAAGTTGGCAAATGCTAGCATCTGCTTAGTCACAAGGGGGTAGTAAAGAACTGAACGAAGCAGGGAGAACAGCGCAGCATGGTCAAGAGATTCTTGACCTTTCGGTGTTTTTTTGTGGTTGAGTGACCATTGATTTCCACTCTCTGAGCAACACAGGCCATAGATCTCTTTTCACTTTGAGCTCTGTTTTGTTATGGATGCAGGTCAGTTGAAACAGATGTAGGCCTAGCTCTTCAGATCAGGCATGCACCATTTAGGGAGTTTAAATGTGCTTGGCCATAGTAGCCATAAACTCCATGAGGTACATCTAACAGCCATTAGAGCTTAATAAGCTGGAACAGCCTAATTCACAGCTAATGACTGGATCAGGAAACCTCATTAAAAGGGAATCTACAAAATAATCCTTTAACTTTTCTTCCAAAATAAGTCATGATGGCTCCAATGACAATGACCTTCTCAGACAGAGCTACATACTTGATTTTTTTGACCTCTCTTACTTATTAGTTTTGAGCCTGTATTCACAAAGATTATTCAAGTAAGAGTGCTGAATAAGGATATTATATCTACATATATATGTATATATATATATATATATATATATATATGTGTGTGTGTGTGTGTAGATATGCACACACTAAATGGACAGAAGTATTGGGACACCACACATATTACACCACAGGAGATTTTATGACATCCCATTCTAAATCCATCTGCATAAATATGGAGTTGGCCCCCCTTTGCAGCTATAACAGCTTCCACTCTTCTGGGAAGCTTTCTACAAGATTTTGGAGAGTGTCTTTGGGAATTTTTGCCCATTCACCCAGAAGAGCATTTGTGAGGTCAGACATTGATGTTGGATGAGAGAGTCTGGCTCGCAATCTCTGTTCAAGTTCATCCCAAAGGTGTTTGATGGGGTTGAGGTCAGGGCTTCCATGCTAAACTCACCCAGCCATGCCTTTATGGAGCTTGCTTCACTGGGGCACAGTCATGCTGGAACAGAAAAGGGCCTTCCCCAAACTGTTCCCACAAAGATGGAAACATACCATTGTCCAAAATGTTTTGGTATACTGAAGCCTTAAGTTTTCCCTTCACTGGAAGTAAGCGGCCTAAAGGCCAGTCCCTGAAAAACAATCCCAGAGCATTATCCCTCGTCCACCACACTTCACAGTTGGCACAGTGCAGTCAAGCAGGTAACGTTCTCCTGGCATTTGCCAAACCCAGACTTGTCCATCAGACTGCCAGATAGAGAAGCGTGATTCATCACTCCACAGAATATGCTTACACTGCTCCAGAGTCCAGTGGTAGCATGCTGTTCAGTGCTAACTAACTACAAGTAATACTGGAATACCATGAGAAGAGATTTGGAAAAGGTTAAAATAACACACTAACATACCTCAAAACCACAAATTAATTTTATTTTTTAAATTTTGCTTATTTGCTTACTTGCTAAATTGTATTTATATCAGTATAATTATTCATTTTAATATAGTGTTTTTCTGTGCAAATAAACACTTACTGCTCAGATAAATTGCCTTTCTGATTTTCTCAGCCCAGTTTCTTGCACAGTACTGTATAAACCAAAACAATCAAGGATTTTTATTGTACCGTGATATAAATATTTGGCTATACCACCTGCTACTAAACTGTTCTTATACATATGCTGACAATAACGTAAGACTCAAATGGGATAGACTAGCACATTCTTGCTAATAACCTTGTCTTTTTGAACAGATGTTCTAGTAGCATGAATACTTGAGATGTTCAGATACCACTATTAATGGAAATGTAACATTTGGGCTCTTTGTTTAAGCATTAAAGTGAAAGATATAAGAGTTTTTGCCCTGCTGGTGTTTAGTGAAACAGTGAAATTTCCTGAAACCGAAAACTTGCTTTGGATATAGGACACCTTTCCTGCAACAGACAAATAGATTCATCAGACTGCTCTGGAACTCTGAGGGGAAACCTGTGGTGATTCACATGAGCCAAAAATGAAGAACTTGAGGGATAAAGCCATGTGATGTGCTGTTCTCTGATGAATCTGGGACATGCTCATCTGTCTGCCAGCCAAAGCAATGTGTCTCTTGACCTTCTTTTGGTGGACGAATCTCTGCAATTCTCATATCGAGGCACCTCAGGTTTTGTGTGGATCAATTTCTTTTGATTCTGTTTGACCACTCATCCAGAATTCTCAGCAGGGAATCCAACTTTGAGACAGATCGAGGCCATCCGTCATTTTCTGCCTATACACAGTCCATCTGGGTCAAATCAGCTCAGGGATGTAAACATTAATTTGTGGTTCTTTTGTCTAGATACATCTCCTAATAAGGCCTTCACTGGTTTGGTAACTTAACTGGAGAGTAGCATTTACTGTCAGAATGGCCAAGAGAGTAATTCTTACATTCATACATTATTCAGTCTTGTGCAAAGGTTTGAACATGACATGTTTTGTTGATTTAGTTAAAGTTAAAATATATTAACACATCTTATACAGAGAACTTAGATGGTATTTTTTGGCAACCTTTCTTGAACAGTTTCTGTTTTTGTTGTTTAACATATTGAGAAAACATAAAATGTGCCATAACTTTTGCATGACTATCCCCCCCCCCTCAATACATTCAGGTCAGCAAATTAACAGTATTAAATATGCATTAACAGCATGTGTTAATGGAGCAATAAGCAATGTTTAAGACAAAAAAAACAAATCCAAACACTATGTATAAGACTGATTTGTCTAAGTTGGCTTGTTGGCATTGTCGAAGTTGGCTTGTTAGGCTTGTATGAACCATTTTATCAAAAGGGGCTCTGGGTCCACACCCATGGGTGATGCCATGTTGAGACTATGTGACAGCAGGGAGCAAACGGTCTGCAGGAGAAAAAGATTTGTGAGCTCATTAGTTAAAGCTGCTAAAGCTATGCTAGTCACTTTCCCAAAGCTTACTTAATACAATATGTGACAGGTGAGTTGCGTGTTGCTAGTATTGAATGAAAAAAAATGATCATGGCAGATCTGTACCCTTTGGAAGTAGAAACAATAGGGAGTCAGCAGCATGTAAAAAATGCAATACAAAGGAAGAAAACTAAAGGGCTAGCATCGTCAAAGAACCAGGATAAACATCTGCATCACGTTTTCCAGATGGAAAGTCCTCATTAAGGACTGAAGACTTCAGAGTGCTGGTGAAGTTGCTTGTTTTCTGCTAGAAAGATAAAATTACCAATCAAACATACATTTTTGTTCCCCTTTATATTGTGGCATCCACCACCGGCTGCACTGCTGTGGGGAGTTAGGGGGTGTGGCAATGCAAATTTGCCCAAATATGCAATGTTGCCCACGTTTTCTCCTGCACCAGTGCTACAATATCTTTGATGGATCAAATACTTTTTGTTGTTAGGCATTGTCGACATGACCAAACTCAGTATCTCAGTGCTAGCATAAACACTAATTACATCCCCACTACAAAGTGAACGCTTTGATCAATCTAAAAAGAGAAGTCGTCCATGCAACATTACATTTTGCAGCACTTAGAATTGATGTAATAGTGCTTGGTCCTCATTAGGAAGAGTAAATAATTCACTAAGTTGTGTTGCTGTCAGTCTGATACTTTCTCAGCAATGTAAACTTCAACTGCAAGTGATAGCAAAGTTACAAAAATCAGAAATAGCTTGATCTGAAACATTACATAATGCTGCTCGATGCGTTTGTAGCTGTTGTGTGTTACTTGGACAGATAACTGTTACTGTCTAAACTGGTTATGACGACAGCCG